CAAAGGCACTCCAATTAATGTCTCTTTCTCCGCCATTCATGTGTTCATCTCTCGACGTTTTCATACTCCGATGGGGTGGGCTACATGATAAGCATCGTTAACCAATTCCCTATGTTCTCTATGGCAAACATCTCTCATACAAGTCTGCCAAGCAAAAGTGTCTCTCATACCTCTAGTGATGCAGAGTACTAATGATAACAAATGAGAGTGTAGAAGTTGTTTGGGCTCACACCATTTTTCAAGAACTTGGTTATATGATCTCGATAATAGCAACTCTCTATTATGATTACCAAGGTTCTACATATGAATCTCTTAATAATATTCTTCACTCAAACATGAAACAACTTGCTCTTGATTTTTTGTTAGAGAACGTGAGCAACTCAATGTATGTCATATTTCTAGAAAGCTATAAATTGCATATGTTAAAACCGTCGGGCAAACGTCTTTTGAAAAATTCAGATTCAAGTTGAGAGTTTGCAAAAGAACCTTCATTTTCCAAGGCGTACAGCTCTTAGTTGTACATAAATCTACATGTACATGAATATTCATTATACTAGGTACTACCTCCGTCCCACTAAGTTTGGGACAAGAGAAGGTGGCACGATTATTAAGAAAAATGGGTTTGTGTGGTTGATATTAAATTGATAAAGTAAGAATAAAGTAAAAATAATTTAGAGCCACGCAAACTTTACCAAATTTGGTATGGGACAATCTTAGTGGGATTTCCCGAAAAGGTAAAATGGGACAATCTTAGCGGGACGGAGGGAGTATATCTTTACCATTTCCTACTTTTAGGTGGCTAGTTAGTTATTTTTATCTTCCAGTCGCGTCTTTACTTTCACTTTCTACTGTGTGTGAGGGTTCTCTAGTCATGTGTGCCTTGATGTTGCTTTGAATGAGCTATTGGGGAACTGAGATGGAAAGCTGAACCGGAGAGGTCAACGTGAGATCTTTATAGTGGTAATAGATCTTCATCTATCTTTGCTGCTATATCAATAGCCATCGCCTTTCACTACTACACTGCCGCGAGAGAGCATTTCAGCAACCGCCTCTTATGCCTCACTCATTTCGGATCCTAAAGGCAAGTCGAGGTTTTCCCCTAGGATCATCGTTTAGGTAAATCGACGATAACCCCTTTTTGTAATACAAGCTGGCTTTGGATCCACGTAGATATTTTAGGTTGTCTTGTTGCTATAAGGTGACTTCGAACTTGTGGTGCTCTATTGTCTTTTTTTTCTGGTTACTATGAGGTGACTCTGGATTTGCATTGGTTAATCGTCTTTCTTTCTTGTTGCTACTGGGTGATTCCAGATCTGCTATCTTTCTTACCTATCACTACTGGGTGGCTTTGGTTTTTGGTGTGGATTGTGAGATTCCTTGTCAGCCACTCAAGTGGCCTTTGGATCTGCGTTGTCTGTAAGCTCACCTTTGAGTGAGTTGGTAGTTCATAGCTTTAGTAGACCACTTGCCTTTTCCCTTGTTGTGTGATACTTTTGTTTGTGTGTGTTGTCATGTCATCTCCTATGAATCAATGTGGTATGTTATTGTTTAATATTTACATTTGAAAAATAAAGATTAAATGTGTTTAAATTCAAAAGAAAACTTTTAGGGTTGTGAGTGAGGTGGGATTTATTTGATTAAGATTACTATCAATGGAATTGTATGTTCCCCCATAAGATCGAACTTCTCTCATTCTGTACTTGGAAAGGTAGGCACTATTTAATTTGTTGAGAGATTATGGGATAAGCTTGACTATTTGTATACCGATACTTCTTTGCCAAGGAAATTGTTTTCTGTTGTAAAATAATTTATGTTTAGAGTTGACCTAGCTAAAGACATCGATAAAATTTGAACATGTTAAAACAAATGATTCAAAACACATTAGATTTCTATACTCCTGTTGTATTACTAAATGTCATTCCCGATTCATATAATGATGTCAAATATGTTATCGAGTATGGTAGTGATGATATTTTACTTGAATACTTGATATAATTGTGAATGACGTAAAAAGTAAAGAACTTGACTTAAAACATGATAGGGGTAATAGTAACACGTCTAAGGCTTTGGGTGAGGTTATGTCTGTGAGAGGTAGGTCTAAGAGTAGATCTAAATATCATAAACAAAAAACCCAAAGTAAGACTAGTAATCATAATGGAAAGAAGAGGTGTAAATCAAAGAAGCGGGTTTGCAAAGTTGTGCTAACCCTAGACAATTATTAAAGCTAACATATATGTTAGTGTTGTTGTTGAACTCGAAGTCATGGTGATATGTTGATGGTATGCGATTATGTGAATTCTGTCTAATTATTTGTTTGAACATGATTGATGAAGTGATTGATTGTGATTGTACCTATCACATGTCCTCAATAACAATTTGTTTACTAGATATGAGAAATGTGAGAATGGTTATGTGTCCTTAGTTGATAATTAGAAATGCAGTGTGCTTGGTATTCAACATGTATGTATGCTTGAAATTTTCTTTTTATGTGTCTTTTGTGAAGAATGTGAGGCATGCCCCTGATATGTGTCATAACTTTTTATCTGTTGCTTCTTAGAAGGTTGTGGTTTGGAAGATACGTGGCAAAATGGATGTGTGAGAATCTTGAAAATTTCACTTTTGTTGTTTAAATCTGAAAAAGTAGATAATCTTTATGTTTGCCATGCTAAGCCTATTTCTGGAAGTGTTAATGTTGTGGTGGTTGATAATACTACTTAGTGGCATAATAGGTTAGGACATTTGAGTAATAGGGGTTTAGATATCATTTATATAAGTGGCTACTTTGGAAACACCTTGTGACGTTTGTGGCTTTATGTGAATAATGTGTGTTTGGTAAACAATATGAGGTGAAGTTTCCTACTTCTTCTTATGCTAATCTGTGTAAATGCTCCAATGTGTTTAAGTACATTCATGATGATGTTTGAGGAACTCTAATGTCACTCATATGGGTTAAAATACATTTTATGTGCTTGATTGAGAATTTATAGCAAAGTATGGGTTTGTTTATTAGAACATATATATGATGTGTATGATAAGTTCAAGGATTGGAAACTCTTAGTTGAAAATCAAACTAAGAAGATAATTGAGACCATTAAGACAGATAATGCCCCAGAGTTTTTTGATTGGGAGTTTAACCAACAGTGTGTTGCTGTTGGCTTCAAACGCCATAGGACTATCACTAATACCTCAACAGAATGGGATAGCTAATAGAATGAATAAGATCTTATAGGATAAGGTAAGAAACATGTAAGCTACTTCTAGGATATTGAACTAATTATGGGGAAATGCAGTTAGTATTGCTACCTATTTAATTAATCAATCCCCTTCAGTGTCTGTAGGTGGAAAAACCCTAGAGTGGTCTTTAGTGGGAAATCATCGGATATTCTAACCTTAGGGTGTTTGGTTGTGCGACTCACATGCACCAAAAGGTGGATAAATAAGACCCTACGTTTTTCTAGGTTACAGGTTGTGGGACAAAAATGTTAATGGTTTTAACGTTGTGAAAAATAGAGATGTTGTTTATGTGGGATTGATTTTATCTGCTTATCTAAAACTTTACCTGCCTCTGTGCCTGATTCCTGATGTGACTCCTTTTGAGATGGAGCCTCAATCCCTTACTCTCATCCTCTGATGTTTGTTATCCATTCTGATAATACAAATTTGCATGATAGTCTTGGTTACTTTTGTAATGACCCCTTCTGTGATACTACCTCTAGTGAGGTGGTGCATGAGCATGAGCATGATAAGTGATAACAATGACTTGCGACGATTGCACTATGCATGATGAGCATTCCATGTTTGCTTAAACTAATTTTCTTGATAATCCTGAAGTGCATGTTAAAAATGATTTACATAATTATCAATTAACTATATGGATAGTATGCATGATTTTGCTTGTAATGTGTATAAAATTTATGATTTTGCCTTTAATGTGTTTAAATCCCATAATTTGAATGAACTCAAGACCTATGGTGAAGCCTTTCCTCTGCTTTTTAAATTTACAACTGCTATGTTTATGCTTGCCTTAGTTTGCCTTTGATTAGGAAATGAAGCAAATAGATGTTACCATGAATTTCTTGCATGTTGAATTGGATAAGAAAATCCATGTGTCAACCAGAGGGCTTTGTCTTTACGAAGAAAAGTGAGCATGTTTGGCTACTAAGGAAGACCTTGTATGGCCTAAAGCAATCCCTAGAGAGTAGAATATTAAGTTTGGTAAATGTATGCATATCTTTGGATTTTGTGAAAAGGTATGGTGACCATTGCATGTTTTCTTAAAAAATCATGTTGATTCCATGATCATGATCAACCCATGTTTTTAAATCTAGTGTGCATGTGCAAAATTGTTTGGTTGATTTTTTTTATGAATGACCTAGGTGATATCAAGAGGATCCTAAGCATCAATATTGTTAGGGATGGTATAAATATACTTCTGTTTATAATCAGATCTCATATGGAGAAGTATTGAGTGAGTTTAACATGCATGTTGTCTGTTAACTGAAAATGTGTCTCTTACTTCTAATTTTGTTCTAAGTAATGATCAATCCCAAAGACTGAATCTAAAAGTGACAAAATGAAATGTGTTCTTTATTCTAGTGTTGTAGGGTCTTTTATGTATATTATGGTTCACTATAGATGTCTATCTGCATATTCAGTGAGTTGTTTGAGTTAGTACAATTCCAACTCCGACTTGTCCCAGTAGAATGCTTTAAAATGGCTATTAGATATTTGAAATGTACTATCAGTCATGATTTGACTGTTTTGAAGTGTGATGATGGTGTGAAACTGTTAGGATCTGTGGATTCCAGCTATGCTAACGATAAAGATAGAAAGTTCGCTAGTTCCCATGTGCTTACTCTGTACCGTGTGTGCATTATCGGATTATGAGTCGCAAAAGTGGAAAAATGAATAAATGTGTCGTTATGCTTGTAATGAAAGAGCTCTTTTGAATGAGTTGATTCAATCTTATTCTCAAATGAGTTTGATTGAAAAATGTACAGATAAAGGAGAGGGAGAGGGAGATTGCTCAACAACAGGCTCAATGGGAAACACAGAACGACAACACGAACCCTTCCTATGTTGTACCCCCACAACTATTCAACTCTTTTCACCTCAGGTATGTAATAACTACTCAAGAAACCGGCTTTATTATAATTATATTTAGAAAATGAAGTTACCAATTATTTTAATCGATTGATCTCTGGGGTTCCCTAATATGGCGTTTGTTTGAAACATTAAACAAAAAATGATTGCCGCAGTGAAGGGTATCATAATGGAGGAGGAGAGCATGGAGGAATGGAAGGAATTCAATGTCAACAACCGCAGCATGCAACTAACACCGTAATGCCCCAGTGGATGCTTAGCCACCTGAATGGCTAACTAATTAAAGAATCGATTTAGGACATATATGAAATCATATGTATATAGTCTGAATGGCATTGAGTACCCACCCCTTTGGTAGAAACATCTTGTGCTGCTTTTTTGCTTGTCTGCGAAGGTTAATTTTTGCGTACATATGTGTTGGAAGAGAAGAACAAAGAGTCTTATGGTAATTTCAACCTTGTACGTATATGTACGTAGTTGCTAGAATGCTAGACTCTCTCTATATACCGTGGACCGTGGTAGCACACAAGCTAAGGGGAAGGGGAAGTAGTGTATGTAAAGTTCTATGTAACATGTACGTATGTTTGATACATTGAACTGATTAATATATGCAGATAAACTTATATATATTTTTGGAGTTGTTATGGACTTAATTAGTGGCGAGTTAAATATATGCTTTTTTTTCATGGATAATCTCCCGTTCTTTTCTTTTGTAGGTAAGCTTTGAAAACAACAATATGTTGAAGTGTAAATGATATATAGTGAAAAACCAGTAACCTATTTAATTTACTTGGTCTGTTGATGCATGTGTACAACAATAATGACAAATTTCGACAAATATATTAACGGATTCTGAATTAGGGTTGACATCTATAAAACAAATGGGAAAATGTGCAAAATATGCCCTTGAAAGTTGAAATGTGCAAATGGGAAAATGTAGATATATTGCTTAACTTCTATAAGGTGTAAAAGTACTCCTAATATTCTTATCAAAGAGAAAATTAACACTTAGTAGTTATTTTAAAAATACAAATAAAAAAAATATTAGGTTCGAAATATGTAAATATTTAAAACAAAAACACTACATGTTTTTATTAAAAAATAGAATATTCTTTATACAAGTATTAATTTCCTTATTAAAATGAATACAAATAAGATTTTCTTTTTATGTTAAAATGTTAACGTTTTAATTTTTAATTGCAAAATTATTATTTTTACCTTGTAAAACAAGCACTTCAAATTCATAATTATTAATCTTAGTCTTGTTGCAATGTTTTGGACACATTGTTACATTTTTTTTTTGAAATGACATTCTTTTGGTGTTGTTTAAACCTAATAAAGTTAAATTTACTTCGGAGTATTTTGTAATATTGAATTCTTTATCATCATAGAAATATGTTAAGTAAATTTTATAGTGCAAACAATACCAAAATTTAATAATTTTCTTATATTGCAACATATATGTCAACACTTTTCCAAAAGAATCATAAATAGCTATATATATGTAGTAAAGCTTCGGAACAAATTTTTATGCTAACAATATTAAATTGTGATATAAAACTAATAAAGGGGGTAATTTGCTCCTTTGTAGTAACCATAGGGATGTTCTTGCACCTTTTAAAAAAATATCTGCACCTGCACATATATACTTCAAGAGTGTATTAACATCTTTTCCCTATAAAAAATAGGGTGACAATGGAACTTGTTTGTGATGATGATTCACACTCTCATGCCTTACCCTATGTGTAAAACATCCTCCATTGTCTTCTATAAATGCTTGTGTAATGTTTTCCATGCTAGCATATTATTTGGAAATATGAAATGTACATATCCTTAGTAAGAAACAACTAGGAAAATTATGGAAATAGAAGTTAAAAATTTGAAATTTCAAAATAGAGGTATTGTGTTTTTATTCCCTACGTAAACTTAGGAGTAAATATGTTTTGGATATTGTGGCCATATGTGCCCTTTAGCTTCTATAAGAGAAATTATTGTGAAACTTTGAAAATACTGTAATGTTTAAAATATATGAGTAATGCCAAATTAAACATGACAGTAATTACCTATATTTAGAAACTAAACTTAGTAGCCTATTTGGATATTCATAAATATTTTTACTTCTACTTAATTAGAACAATTAAGGTACCACACATCATTTAAAGCCCATTTTTTAGATGTGTCATTTTTTATTTTAGATATACATATACTTGTATAATATTATTGTTTGTGCTCAATCACAATACGAATGTTATTCGCAACAATATAATGAATTATTTTCAATATATTAGTGACAAATCACATATATTTTTTATGTAACATGGAAAGTGAAAATAATTAGATTGAATTAAAAGTGGCACACAAGAATTAATTATGCATATGTATGAATGATTCATGATGGTCCCGGATAGAGGTAAAAGTCTAGAGGGGGGGTGAATAGACTTTTATAGCTTTTTCGTTTTTAAGAACTTTTCCCTTCTAGATGAGTTGATCTATAATCTTTTGGGAGATTAATAGATGCACAGCGGAAGTCTTTAACCTCTAGAAACTCAGTTTAAGATAACTTTCTAGTCTGGGTGATGTTTAGACTAATTATGGAAGGGCAGTAGACTTGGCAGTTGGATGATGGGTAGGCGACTGCTGAGGCAACTGCTGAGTTGGCAGTTAGCTGAAATGCAGGAGACTGCTGAGGCAACTGCTGAGAAAATATTGGGTGTTTGAAGAAGGTGATGATGAAATGTTGCTAAGAATAGTGAGGGTTTTTTTTTTAAAATGTGCTTTAGTATAAGTAATCAGAAGTTTTACTGGAGCAGTGGTCTCAGCAGTTGATTGGTGATGAGGGCACTGCTGAGGTGCCTGCTTGGTTTAGAGGATGAACTTCACAGAGCAGTTTGGTCAACTTCCTCGTTGGTAATGTTATGAAGGTCTGGTGATATTGAGATGTTTAAGAAAAACAAGTGTTTGTGAGCAGAGAGCTCAGCAGTTGGTTGGACACCAGGTGACTGCTGAGGCACCTGCTATACTTGAGAATGAATTTCAGGATAATGACCTGATAAGCCTTTTAGTGATATTTATGCATATTTCTAGTGTGAAAAAGGTCTCAAAGAAAGTAAGTAATTAAGCAGTAGGATAAGCAGTTGGGTCTGTTAAGGCAACTGCTTAGGATGCTGCTGGCAAACTCCAATCTTTTTGTGAGAAGTGTTGGTTGTGTGCTTTGTTAACTAACATAAAATCAACACACGATGTATCCTGGTTCAAAGGTGGTGTAATCCTCCTACATCCAGTCCCACCCTCTTTCAGATGGATTTCACTAAAGTATTAATCCCAATACACTTAGTGTCAATCCAGCCTTTACAACACTTAGGCCTAGATTGAAGGTTTTTCACAATGAGTATAGCACCACTCAAGGTTACTCAGTCCTTAGACTTTTCTCTATTGAACCAGTGGGGTTCAAAAGGTACTCTTTTCTATCTAACTGCACTTTAGGATCTGAACAACTGTTCTCCTAAGTGTTTACAACAACTTGTGATTGCAAGAAAGTTCTAACCTCCAACTATGAACTAAGCTCTTTAAATATGACAGTTGTTAATCTAATCTTAGAGCTTAGTGAAGCATGAGTCTAAGCAGAGAGCAAAGTTAAATTGGCACTTTCTCTTTTGCTTGATAGCTCGTGAATACTTAGAGTGATTACTCTACTTAGAAGACTCAAAAACTTCGTTTTAGAACTCATGCCTATGCCTTCTTTTATAGGCTTCTCCAGTAGGTTGATCTCCTCCGTTGGTTGAGAGGATTCAATCCTATTCACAGAATGAGGTGTACTTTTGTTCTCTTGTGCTGGAGCTGATAATGGAAATTTCCTTTGTCTTCACTGATTAGTAGCTAGAAGATCAAGTCAAGGATCAATCTTCATGATTTGGTGTGTGCGACCCATCTTCTTTGTACTGTTGAGCATTTAATGCTCTTCTTGTCTTTGTCTTCAATCATACACATGCAGTGTATGTGTGTGTGTTTGTGCCGTGTTCTATTATATTATGTACCAAATGAATTTGTACTGGTAGGATCAAAGTCTCCTTCTAAGGTAAACAATTTTTTACCTTATTGTAATTTTTAGTTTCCAGTAAAATTTATTTGGTACAGAATTTATTTTGTCATTTCTTGATCAGCTGATTATGTGACTCGATAATTTTATGTACTAAATAAATTTATACTGGTGGGATCTGAATATCCTTTTAAGGTAAAAATTTACCTTATTGCATTTTAATTTTCCAGTAAACATTTATTTAGTACAAAAATTGTACATTTTAATTAGTCACAGTTTGAGAACCTGATCAATTTTTAATTTAGTAAGAACATAGGGCATAATGACTTTTAGTATAGTGGCATCATCAAAATCTTATCAAAATTGGGTACTAACAATTTCCCCCTTTTTGATGATGCCAAAACTATACTAAGCAGGGAAGAATTTTTCTTTATTAAAATTAGAATAGTTACAAGTGTTTTGCTATTACAATAGTTTATAGTCATTCTCGGACTTATGATTGAATCTATTTGGGTTGCTTGTCTTCTTCTTTCTTCTTGGCTTCTTCCCTTGCCTTAGCCTCTTCTGCTTTTCTTTTTCTGATCTCAGCCTCTTCTTGTAGCAGTTTGTTCTTTCTTCTTGTTTCAGCGGCCTTCTTTGCTGCTATCTGTCTTTTAGAGGAGGGTCCTGCTAAGGTAGCTTCCCCCTTTTTGGCATCATCAATATCTTGGAAGAGGGCTTCTATTTCTTCATCTGATTCTTCTTGTTTGTTCTTAAGTCCATACACTGTGATGGACATTGCATTGAGTGCGTTGTTGACATCTTGGAGATCAGTTTTGATGTCTACATGCACTTCTTCTTCTACCTTTTTTAAGATTTTCTTGGCTTCATCTACTTCCTGTGCCAGTCTCTGAATGTCACATCCCTGCTTCCAGAAGGTTTCTTGAGTGTTCTTTTGAATAACCAGGAAGTTGTTTTTTATTGCTTTGGTTAATTGGTCATATGCTTGAACATGAGCCTGCTGCTCACTGAGGAACTTCTGAGAGAGTTGAAGCATGGCAGGGAACTCCTTGTTTTTGAGATAAGTGATGTATTCTTCATGCTCAGTTACCTTTTGAAGTGCCTGTTCAAGAGTGGGAGGAAAAGTTGATGGAGAAGTTACCTGAGCAGAGGAGCCTGCGGCTTGTGATGAGGCTGCTGCTGTTGTAAGAGGATATTGATGTCTTTGGTGTGTGAGAAGTTGACTGGCCAGTTCATCATTTCTGGCTTTGAGTGCCTCAAGCTCCTTTTTGATTTCTGTAGTCACAGCTTCGTGTTGTGAGATCTTGACTTTGAGGAGAGCTCTCTGTTCAGCGTTGAAGACCTGCTGGATCATGAGGTCATTTCTGATATGTCTGTGGACTTCCTCAAACCGGATATCAAGTCTTTCTTTCATCTGCTTCTGCATTTTGATGAGCCGTTTATGTAATCTGACCTCTGCTTTGCTAATGAATTTGATAGAAGCTCCCCTTTCCTGAACGAAGAGATTGGCTAGGGATATAGGATCTTCTTCTTTATCAGCCTCTTCTTCGATACTCGCAGTGGATTGATCAGTAGCTTTAGCGGTGTTTTGTGTGGTAGCCGGAGCA